AGTTACTTTCCCTAGTAACTAGTTACTTTGAAAGTAACGAGTAACTTGAAGTAACTGAGTTACTTTTGATAGAAGTAACTAGTAATGTAACTCAGTTACTATTTTAAAGTAACTTACCCAACACTGTTCACCACATGTAAATCTGCATACATATAAAAATCTATAAGGTACCTGAACTTCCAGAGGAGGCTGATGAAGGTGTGGAGCTTCCTGAAGTTGTGCTTAAACTCTGTGCTGTTGGTGGTGTGGAGGCTGATGAGAGAAACACTGAAGCTGAAAAAGGTCTCAGAGTCATGCAACTGTGATGTTTCCTCCTTCCTCTGCTCTGTGGGTGAGAGTTTGTGCTTTGACCAAACCAGTGTTTTCATCCTGAAGTGCTGCTGAAAGGATGAAGAATTGTTAGTTACAATCTTACTATAGATTAAATGTGACAGCTGTGTTTATGTTTGCATGTGAAATGTGGGTTTTAGTGGTAGGACTGCAAAACATCCAAAGCTTTAAGTTTGTCACCGCTCACTGTGCTGTTGCTCTTCAGCTCATTAAAAGAAGAAATAAAACAGTGTTTGTTTCATCAGCTCTTCTATTTTAAGTTTGTCATTCAGAGGAAAAATATTTGATTACAGATTCAATGTACAATAAAAAGTAGGAAAATATTTCTGGGGATCAAACTGGTTTGAATCTCAAAATAATTTGCAAACTGCAAGAAACAAGTTTGTGGAAATATTTAAATTCCACTCATTTCCAAACTTCACACTATGTTTAACCACAGAAACCAGTAACTGTGGGAGAAAACAAGCAAACACAGCCTCTCCCTGACAGTTTTTACCAATCAGAAGCACAATTCCATATATAATCCTGTGTAATGTTAAGTGAGCATCATCTTCTTTCAGCTACTTGCAGACTGTGGCTTTTTGACCGAAGGAGAATCCATGTACCTTTCGTGGCCTAGCTGTTTCGCAGATTTTTTTTGTGTGTGCAAATTTGCATGCTTTTTTTTTTTTTTTTAATTTGCAGCGTCCTGCATCCTGATTGGCTGTAGGCCATTGTCCATCAATCTCGTGCCATGTCTCCTGTACAGTAAAGAATCCATTCAGCTTGTCAAATTTACATAAATCTTCGATCGGTGTGACTGTGTGCTGTACTGTTTGTAGGTTTTCTCCCCAACAAATGTGCCTTTGGTTTCATTGTATAACACCGGTGTTACATGTTACACTGTGGGTGGGGTGTTTGCCTGCTCTCTCCGCCTCCTTCTCTCTTGCCACTCCTACCCCTCTGTCTCTCTCACCCTTCTCTCTCCCCAGGACACAGCTGCTGTTCACTGGCCTCGTTTACCATCTGGGCCCAGTCAGTAATCACCTCTGAGGTTATATAAGCTGGGGATGACCTGTGTGTGAATTGGTTTTTCCCCCTGTTGCTCTACACAATTTCTTCTAGGTGTTGGAAAGGCTCCTTTGCGTGTTTGTCATGCCCGTGGTGAGCAGTTACAGGCTTGTGGGCCCCACAGGTGTCTCCCCGTGGCGAGGAGTTAAGTAAGAAGTGTGAGAAGCGGGAAGTGTCTCCTTTATTTGTTTGGTAGTTTTTTTTTCCTTTGTTGCTGCGACTACTTCCTTTGTTTTTTTGGCATTACTGGTAAAAAACGGCTTTGCCGGCTCTTTAAGTTAAGATTATTTGTAATAAAACTATTTTACATACTGAACACCTCTGTCTGGTTTCCTTTTCATTCCATTCCTGACCCATTTGTTACCAGTCCCCACACTCACACCCCTTATTTTTCTACGAAGGTTTGAGCTTAAACAAGAGAAAATGTGAAAATGTTCATGCCTGTCTGAGAAAAGTGTATAAAGTGTGTAGTGAGGGGTTTTACAGCCTTACATCTATACAGAAAATTTTTACATCTATAATAAACGAGGGAACGCTGTACATGTTTTGTACACTGATTGTACAAAACATGCACTAAACAAATCATATTTGTGAGTCCTCAAAGTTACACACCAATCATTGTGTACATTTGTAAATCTTACTTTACGGTTGTGGATCATATCGTACACATTTGCAAACCTTCTCTCCATATTTATGCTACATCAACGTTTCTGACACTATTTAGAGAACAAATAAAAGGAGACACTTCAGACCTTCATCCAGTCTCAACTGAAACTTCAGCGCTGTTATGCTGAAAAGTTAAATATCAACAAGTGGAGGTATTAAAAAAAACATTTTTTACATTAGAATTTTTTTTCTGTCTTTTTATTGTTTGTTTCAGTTTGACTGATGACAACAGTAACAGGTGACACAGCAGTTAATCTGAGTTCCATTGGTTTGGTAAAATACACACTAACATAAAATAGATGAAGTTAGCCACCTGGAGCTTTTTTACTGACTACATTTAAGGATCGTGCTCCAGGAGCAGCCTGCCAGTCATACCATCTGTTAAACTAAACTAAAAGTAGCTGTAATAAAAACTACTTTCAGTGTAATTGTTTGACAGACAGATGGTCATAAACAGAAAAATATACTGTTGTATGGATTCTGTTCATCTGTTAGCCACCAAGCTTTCATCAGCAGCATCACTACTGATGTTTTTGGACATATGAGGAGGTGAAGCATCTGCGGTGTGGTCGGCAGAGCTGGCATGTACCTGGGGACGAAGTACAAACATATATTGCATTACCACAGGGGGCGCTGTTGGTGGCACGATAGTGGGAGAAATCCACTTCAGTGTAATCAACTGCATTCATGTCATCTTCAGTCCTAAAGGAATCAAACTTCAGTCTCTCAAAATATGATGTAAATGAATAAAAATTCATACAGATAAACTCTGAGAGAAGATAAAATATGTGTACAAGAAATATTTATGTATGAAATCTTAAAAAACATTTGCTATCAGCTTGTTAATAAAACAAGAATGAACCACAAAAAATGCAATTTCTGTTAAATGCAAAAAAACAAACAAAAAACTAAAAAGCAGCATTTTTAAGCATTAATACTGTCAATCGTATAAAATACCTATCAATGCTAAATTACTTTAATGCACAAACTGTGATCTAGATCCTAGTTTCTGACCTCCGAGCTTAAAATCAGACCACAGTTTTACTTACTTTGTTGTGAGGAGAGGTGGAGAGGCTGTAGAGGTCTATTGTTTTCATCTCCATCTGGTTGGAGGTTTTTGGTGCAGCATCTGTTGAGGACACTTCTGCAGGAGGTGAACTGCTCTGTCTGTCCACCTCTCTGATCTCTATATATACGTTGTTGCCCTGCAGAAGGAACAAAGCAGCTGATTGATACACCTCAAGCTGTGATGAAACTCAGGTGTCACAGTTCCTAAAACTCACCTGTGTGATGTCAGCACGCTCAGACTCCACAGGAGGTCCTGGAAAACATGCAGATCAGAAGATAAACATCAGTCTTTAACCAGTGGAACTACATCTGTAGATCTGAAAGGATCAGGCAAAGAGGACCAACGAGGGATTAATACTAAAGAAAAAGGAGCCTGCCTATCAATAATGACAATTTCTTTTAACCAGTCATTGTTCTTATTCCCAAATGAAGAACTGATGGTGTGGACAAAGAGGGAAGGGTAGACTGATTAGACTGGATAGACTCTGTTTTAAATGTTATTTTCAATTTAGTTTTCAAAAATAATATCAAGAATGTTGGTCATGTGTTAAATATAAATAAAAACAATGCAATGATTCCCAAACCTCTTAAACTGATATTTTATTCATTAGAAAAAAAAATCAAACAAATGAGGATTTTTTTTATAATGTCATGAAACACAGTAGCTCATTTTGAATTTGATGTCAGAAAAAATGCCTCACAAAAGTTTGCATGGGGGCAACAGGAGGCTGGAACAATAAGCATTGCTAAACCCAAACAGCTGGAAGAATAACTCTTTCGTAACAGGTCAGTAACTCGGTATAAAAAGAGCATCTTAAAGAGGTGAAGTTTCAAAGAAGTAAAGGAGTCTTCTCTCAGCTAAAGATCAATTTTCATTGACTGAAGCAAAGTGGAAAACTGTTCTGTAGTGACATCAATTAAAAGCTGAAATTCTCTTGGATGTTGCATCTGCTGGACTAAAGAGAAAGACTGTTCCGTTTATTATCAGTGCTCAGGTCAAAAGCCTTCATCTCTGATGGTACGGGGGTGCATCAGTATCTGTGGAATTGGAAGCTTAAACACCTGAAAAAAGGCGCCATCAATGCTGGAAGGTGTACTCCCATCCAGACGTCTTTTAAGGGAAGGTCTTATAGGTATATTTCATCAACACCATATTAAACTGCATTCTGTATCTACTACACCAGCCTGGCTTCACGGCCTGCAGTCCAGACCTTTGACTAGCTCAAAATATTTGGAGCATCATTAAACCAAAAACATGACAGAGAAGAGTCAGGACTGCTGAGCAGCTCGAAACCTCTAACAGACAAGAACAGGACGACATTCCTAACAGCTAGTCTCCTCAGTCCCCTCGGTCTCCAGATGTTTCCAGACTGTTGTTAAAAGATGAGGGGACGCTACATGGTGCAGAATGAGCTAATAGTTTTCTGAAAATGGTACATGTTCTCAGTTTAAACATTTGGTGTAATTTATGTGTTCTATTTGAATTTTGTGTTCATAATGTGACGAAATTTTTATTTTCCCAGTAAACAAACTGCATCATTTTAGAAGTTCTGACAGACTGAATTTGAGAATATTTGAGCCACAGTTGGAAGCTCATTTCAGGCTTTTAATTGTCATTTTCCTTGTGTTACTTATGTTGTCAGGACATTAATATTTTCTGGACAGAAACCAGTTCCCTATGATATGTAGTTCTAAATTTTACTGTGTTTAAGTTTTTAAAGGGTTTCATGGGACGACTCTTTGTTATATTTCCCTAAAAAGGTCCAGGGGATGAGGGAAAGTGATAAAAAGTGTCTGGGTCGAAAAAAGGAGACAGGGAGGCAAAATGGTTAAACTAAAGAGTTTTATTAATGCTTCTGTTAGTAACTGAACTAAAAGACACTGTTAAGCCACTCTCACCATTTAAAGAAGCAAACCAAAACCGAGGCATAAGTCAGTGAACTGAAAAAGTAGAGTAAAAAAAAAAAAGGATTAGTCACCAAACACTCCTCTCCACCGAGCAGGAGCAAACAATCACCAAACACAGCTCACTAGCTGCACCCACCAACATGGCTCTCTGGCACCAGAGCTCACCTTTCTCTGCCTTGTAATTGCTGATGGGAGTCAGCTGTACAAAAAAATGTGGCACCTGAGGCAGAAGAGACAGCAGGACACCCAGGGCAACTAAAGAGTTAAAAACACCGTGCGTGTTTCCTGTAGCCTCACCTCTGGGTTTAGCTGTCCTCTTCATCATGTAGAAAATCAACGAAGTTGCTAAAAAGGCGCTGATGATAATGACCACAATAAGACGCACATAAATCAGCACATCTGCAGGAGTTTAACAGAGGAGGGGTTTTTACTCGCAGTGTAAACATGTGGATCAAAGCCGGTTCATTTAGCAGTAAACATACAGAATAACATGTGTTTTTGGACTGAACACAGTTACTCAGGCATTTATGTGACAAACTGCTTATCAATCATGACAGAAAAACAAATCAGAAAAAAAATCAATTTCCTTCTGCATGAAATTATTTAATGAAGTAGCACAGAAAGTATTTATACTTTAACCAAGTTTTCTGTATTGACTACCTGCTATTGTACTTTCTGCTAAAATGTGAGCAGCTCCCTATTCTGCTTCACTCAGTAACAACTACAGCTCCCACAATGCTTTCCTCTGTCTGTGTCTGTTACACTGACACTTGTGAAAAAGCTCTGAAACCAAACAGCAACTAATCACAGTCTATATCTGTCATCTAGCACAGATCTCATGCAGTGCTGCTGTGAGGAAGTCAGCCATGTCCTCTCTCAGCTGCTGACCTGCTGTGCTGGAAACTTATTTCTTTAGCTGTTGTGCTTTTTACTGAAGTCACTGCAATGATCAGTTTTCAGTCAAACACGTGTTACATTCATTTGACAGTTTTGACTTTAATTCTACTATCATGCCAATATTTTTCTACTTTAATTCGTTTCAACACATTTTTATCTTTTACTCAGAATAGCCATTTATTGTCATTCTACATGTACATCAACACCGAGGAAAGAAGTTTACATTTTAGAAATGTTCTTCTTCCACATCTCACAGTGTGTCACTACTAGATAGTTCACATATAAATCTGCATACATATAAAAATCTATAACGTACCTGAACTTCCAGAGGAGGCTGATGAAGGTGTGGAGCTTCCTGAAGTTGAGCTTAAACTCTGTGCTGTTGGTGGTGTGGAGGCTGATGAGAGAAACACTGAAGCTGAAAAAGGTCTCAGAGTCCCGTTTGGTGTTGAAGTGGTTGAAGCTGTGAACAATGAAACCATCAGAGTCATAATAAGACCACTTGAAGCAGTTTATATATCTGCATGTGACTGACGTGGTTATGGGCTGTTTGACAGCAGAACTGATGAAACTTGATGTTTCAGATAAATATAACATCTGTAGGTGATTTGAAGGAAAAGTAGCTGCTTTTGAGACGTGAAGCTTCTGTCACACCTTCAAAGACAAACACGACTGTTAGCAGAAACTCACCTTCTGTGACAATCAGCTCAAAATCAGAGTTTCCATCTGTCACCAAGACTCTGTCCAAAGAGCACCTGTACCATCCTGAGTCAGACTGTTTCAGCTGTGTGATGCTCACATACATAATATTATTTGAGTTTTCATATTTAATGCTGTATCTGCCGTTCTGAGCTGCATCATCAGATGTTTGAACAAGAATGTTTCCATCTTCACATTTTTCCTTACAGAAGAGTTTCCTGCTTCCAGGGAAATAAAAGTTGCATTTAACTGTGATGCTTCCTCCTTCCTCTGCTCTGTGGGTGAGAGTTTGTGCTTTGACCAAACCAGTGTTTCCATCCTGGAGTGCTGCTGAAAGGATGAACAATCATTAGTTACAATCTTACTATAGATTAAATGTGACAGATGATTATTAATTTGAACTGATGACAGAAGTTCAGTTAACTTCATTTTTCTGTTTTTAGTTGCAAACAGCAAACTTCCTGTTTTATACACGAACACAAAGCATCTGATGTGGAAGATTCAGAGTTTAAGGTTGTGAAAAAGATACAAAAATGAAATTTGACTTTTTTTTTTAATCTTTGATGACATCAGCAGCAGCAGCAGCTATTTCCATATTTGTATGTGAAATGAACATTTTAGTCGTGCTGCTAAACATCCAGTTCTCACTTTGTTGCTCTTCAGCTCATTAAAAGAAGAAATGAAACACAGAGTGTTTGTTTCATCAGCTCTACTATTATAAGTTTGTCTCTCATAGAAGAGTAGACGAAAAGTATTTGATTATAGATTCCATGTAGAAGAAAAAAGTAGAAATTTCTGGGGATCAAACTGTTGGGAAACTAAAAATAATTTGTAAAGTGCAAAAAAAATTTTGTGGAAACATTTAAATTCCACTCATATCCAAACTTCACACTATGTTTAACCACAGAAACCAATAATTATGAGAGAGAACAAAGAAATGAAGAAGTGAGTCGCAAAACGAATTATAAATGAAAATAAAATGGAGA